ACTCAACCTCTATATATATATATATATATATATATATATATATACACAAAAGTTCGATATTAAGTAGTGTATTTTTATTGTAAATTGTAATACATTAAACATTAACAGTGTAGCAGCCATAGTCTTTCAGGCTGCAGCTCCTTTGACTGAAACTTTGTAAACTGGCATATTTATGCCTAAATATACCATGCTTTTTCCATCTAACGGCACATTTATCTTTGGTAGACCAATTTATTTTAGGCTTAATTGCAAATAAAATCACGACCTTTAACCTTTTTGCAATTTAATCTCAACTTTAGGGAAATTGCAAATAAATCGTAACCTTTGTTGATTTTGGCAACCCGAACCCAAATGTAATCCGCAGCGACGAACTTGCCTACGTGTCCGGGCAATTAAGCTGACTAGGATGCCACTATGTCACACACACACGCACAACAAAGGGTAAAATGGTCATATTAAGAATTCAATACATATAAACTCAATATTCAGTAATATCCGAACAAGAATTTTAAAATTAGGGTTCTTTTCGTTCACAGCGATTCTCGATTCTCCAAAGCCATTTCGTTTCTTTTAATTCAATTTTCACATGTTCTTCGGTCATTGGCAAGATATTGGTCCCAGTTGTCCGTGATTTTCGTGCATCGGCAATGGGAAAAAACAGGTAAACCCCAAATTTGAATTCTTTAATCTCATGTGTCGATCTTTGCTGCATTTTTGAAAAATATTATTGTCGCCCTTGTCGTCCAAAACAAACAATGGCAGAAATTTTTTTTAATGGTTGGCTTCATGATAAATTAGGGTTTTCTTTCAAATCTTCATATAAAAATTAGGGTTTTTTTATGACATATGGTTTCCATGTGAATTTCAGATTGTTTTATTACTATTAGGGTTAATACGAAATTAGGGTTGTATTGCAACTAGGGTTATCACAAAATTAGGGTTCTTGCATTTTAGGGATTTTCAGTTATTTCAAGTTTTATTTAAAACTGAATTTATTTATGAAATTTGTATGTTATGTATATGATATGGGATTGATTATATATCCCCATGTTGTTTGCAGCGAAAAATTAGCCATTTTCTTCAATTATGGTGGTTCTTTTATCAAGATTGGAGATTCAACAGAATACTTTGGTGGAAATTTCAAGACTGTGTATGGCTTAGACATTGATAGGTTTGGATACTTTGATTTGGTAGAAGAAGTAGAGAAGCTGGGGGTTAAAGAGTTTGATAAAATAATGTATCAAGTACCTGAGAAGCCGGGATATGCTGGTATGAAGGAGATAGTGGATGACAGTGATGTTATGGAGATGATCAACATTGGCCATAAGTTTAGAACTGTAATACAGGTTTATGTTGCTGAGAGTAACCCTAAGAATGATGGTGATAGAGTTAATGTTGTTAATAATGCATCTGAAGGGAGTACTTATGAAAACAGAATGGTAGATGATGATGGTGATGTAAATGTTGGAGATAATGCAACTGGAGATGAGCACCCAGATGCTGGTGCAAGTATGGATGATGTTGATGCAAATATGCATGATGATAATGCAACTGAAGTGTTAGCAGATGCTGCTATGTGCTCTGATGAGGATAGTGATGATGAAGAGTACTTCCCAGTAGGTGTTAGCTCATCAGATGATGATCTGACTGATGAGGAACATGCTTCTGATGATGATGAATACCTTGAGGCCAGACAAAATTTGAGGAAATGTAAGAACATGATGGTTGAAGAAGATGCTGGTGCAAAAAATACATTCCAAGATTGTCTGCCTGAGA